TTATGACAACCCCCCAGGAAGCGGGCAGGGGTGCTCCCATGACCAGCCAAGCCATCACTGCCCCAGCACCTTCCGTTCCTCTTGCAGCTTCTGCTGAATGCACACCTGCTGAGCATGTGAAGGGAGGCAGATGAGGCCATCTGGTCTGGCATTCTGTTCACACAGTGGCCAAGTCTTGTTTCCCAGCGCCTGGCCTAGGCAGGGCCTCCTGCCTCTGAAACTGTGGGAGCGTGGAACCATCACTTGTACCCTCACCCTCCACAGATTTATCTAACTCCCTTTCAAAACCATCCGCAGTGAATCCCACAGTCTGGCGACCAATGGCGCTGTCCAGAAGCACCTGCCACTCAACTTCACACGGGACCTGAGCACAGGCCTAGCAAGAGAACGCCTCTCCAGCCACATTCTCTGTCCCCTGCATGCATCACAGGTGGCTCTGGGTGCGGCTTGGCTTCCTCCGCCTCGCCCTCGAGAGGGTGCCAGGCCTGGCCTTCAGCCAGCCCACTTGGCATTCCACACCAGCGTCCAGGCCTCTCCCAATCCAGGCAAACACGCTCATCCCCTTGCATGCTCCGTCTGTAACACGCACCAAGGCGGGAATACGCCTCACCCAGGTGGATTCGCTCTCCTGAAAGCTGAGACCATTTTGCTCCCATTTCCATGAGAGAGCCAGTCCTACAGTTGCCTCAGGCTATGGATGTTGAGCAGCAGGGAGTGGCAGTAAGGGGCTGGAAGGCAGAACGGGGTCTGCGGTGTGGGCCACCATCCTGTCCCCAGCACCATGGCAAAATTCAACCACCGACCCTGCCAGCTTCAGTACAGAGAACCGGGGTAGGACGCTGTCTTGCTCTTAGCCCTGCCATGAAGCAAGTTAATTTGTACTCTGATTACACAGAGTTAGTCCTCTCTGGAACACCTCTTGTTGAAAGACTCGTTCTTCCTTAGACATGACTCTGTTCCTTATATTTGTGTCTCAAGCTTCTTCCATGGCGCTCTTGACAGCATCTTGGATACCTTCTCCACAGTGGGATTACTTGACATCTCCTGCTGTTTTGATGGTATCCAACATCTGCGGGGCTGAGACACATTTGGTAATTCGAGGGGCTGTCTTGAGCACCCCACAAATGACTAATGTTGGGGCTTGAATACAAGGAAACACTTTAAATGCTTCCTTTGAAGCCACAATTTTCAGCCACGGTGCTTTATCTGTGCCTTTAAAAGATATTAGCCCCCAAAGCTTTCCTGTCACTCCATCCTCGTGAAAAAGAAAGTGCAGTGCGTCACTGGCTAAATTTTTGCTCTGTTGTGCAGTTGTTCCAAGCACAGGAGCTCTGTGGGTGGAAGGATGAAAGCATGACAAGGAGCAGCTCGGACACTTTTGCCCTCGGGCCCTGCTTGAGGACTGCTCAGAATTATAGGGTTGGCCACTGCTCAGGACTGGAACTTGGCTGCGTGGACCTTTGCTTCGGCTTTTCTAGTGTTTTTAATTTTGGTGCCGGTGGTGGGAGGGCATTTAACTTTATTCCCCAGAGGGTTTCCGACTACCTCCGCTTTGCTGTGTTGCAAAACCGTGAATGGCATGATCTTATGGGTGAAGAAAGTAAAAAAAAGCTGTACAAAGCTGGGTGTTCCAGAACTTTATCTCTGCCTCTAGGTGCATACAATTTGCTCCCCAAGAGTCTTGTGATACCGTAATGCTTATGGCATAAACATTTGCAGACTAGACTTGAGAGGTTTTCATCACCTTATGCATACCTGCAGCTTGCAAACAGCACTATGCACGCACAGGATAGATATAGAAGCAACACAGCTACAACAACCGCCACTAAGACTGCAATTAGGAGCAGCTGGAAAGGCCTCTGGACTCATTTAGGACCACCCATGGGCACATCTGCACCTACCCATGGAAACATTCCATAAAAAGCCAACTTAACCAATTCCTGTCAGTCAAAACAGTTGTGATCCATGGGTTGCTGGAGCAAGCAAGCAAGCAAGCAAGCAAGATCCTAAACTCTGGCCCACTTGTACTTTGCATAAAAAAACAAACAAACAAGAATGCCCCATCTATGACACCTGTTTGTGGGACAACAACCCAGAGTCTTAACCCAACAATGAACCTGGGTTGTTTCGCCCTGTTCCTAGTTCCTCTCCACTGAATCACTAGCTTCTAATAGAATTGGATGGCAGACACAGGACCAGGGCCCTTGGAGGCTGACCTGAAGGTACAGGCGGGACACAGGGTGGCTGTGTGTTGCATTTCACAGAGCAGGTACCCCAGTCTTGGGCCTTCCAGACCATTTGGACTGCAACACCCAGAATTCCCAGAATGGCCCTGCCAGAAGGGAATTCTGGGAGCTGTGGTCCGAATGCCTCCAAAGGCCCTCACATTGGGAAAGGCTGCCATAGAGGATGCCCTTCTCTTTAAAGGCATCCCCTATTGGCGAGGCCGCCTCTGCTAAGCCCAGCTGAAACAGAACAAAAGGGGCGGGATCAGCAGGGCCTTGAACCTGCCCTTCAACTGCTAGCAGCCTTGGGAATCTGCCCCGCCTTTGTCAAAACGCACAATTGAACAGCTCAGTCTTAAAGGTCCCACAGATCAGTCGAAGTGCTTCCCTACAGCCCCACCCAGCACTTTTACCTGGCTCACCTTCAGCTGAGCCTGATTGCATTTCGACTTTATTAGCATCTGCCCTGATAGTGCGATAAACCCATGCAAATACTATGCAAGTGACCTCTTTTGTCCTCCTTTTCCTCATTTCTTCCCTTTCGCTACCAGTGCAGGACTGCCCCGGGGCAGCCTCTTATCAATGCACATGGCCCCAATCCAGGAACACGGCAGTAGCCACTCACATATTATAATGCAGGTTGCCTGGCCCCGAAAGCATCCAGCCAGCTGCCTTCTGCAGGGCCCTGGCAAGGCATCTGCGCCCTTTCTCGCCATCCGTGAACGGCTCCCTGTAGCTGAGCGCAGCTGAACTCACAAAGAGCGAGGAAGGCCATGTGGGGCATCCCATCCTGGCCCTCAACTCGCAGCAGCTGCTGCAGGTCACCAAACGGCAGCAGGACCGGCCTGAGCTATATGACCAGGCAGCCCAGCATTCAGGGCATCCCGATAAAGTGGCCTGGATGCAACTCGGGATTTTGCTGCTCTTTCTTGCATGGGTAATAGTTAAGGGCCCAATCCAAGCTGATAAGACAAGTGCCAAACAGAGGCACTGTGTGTACCTCCAACAGAGAGAATCTTGCTGTTGTTCCAGACGCTCCTTTTTAAGGGAAGAGCAGCTCATCCAAAATGACCGGCAAGTAACTCCCAAAGAAAGAACATAGCAGAGAGCGATAATGTGTGCAAGGCAGGGGTGGTCTTGGGTCTGAGCCCAGTCTGGAACTTGGTTCAATTGCCCAGGGCCCCAGATATGCATGCATGCCTAGTCCTCGCCCCCGCCCCCCCATTTAATTGCTGTGCAAGGGGCAATTTTCCAGGGAGATGACATCTGGAGAAGCAAGGACTGCTCCCCTCACATGGGGAAAAGCCACTGACTTGCACATTAATTGAAGAAACTGCTTGATCTGAGACCATCCAGATGAGCAAGTGGCTGGTTTTGCTTTCTGAAAATTTAAATACATCTTTAAAAGATCTATACATTTGCATATGCAGGTATAAACGAACCTTTGCAAATTTTAGGCAGATTTGTGTCCCATGGGCATGGGCTTGGAATTTTGAAAGTGCTGAATTAGAATTAGTTGACTCAGAAGCAAGGGGCCAAATGTTCTGCCATACCTTTAACGGCACCTTGTTAGGGAGAAATCCAGCAAGTGAAGCTTCTCCTGCTCAGAAATGAAGAGATGGGAAAAGCTTCACCCACCATATTTCTGCTTGCCTTGGGGAGGAGAGGGGGGCTGGGATGCTGCTTTGAATAGTTTTTGAATGCTGACATTCTTGAATGCTTTATAGTACTGGTGGAAGGACCATTAAGCAGTTCCTTGTATAGTCACTGATTATTTTTATTAGTAGTATTTTAGTATATGTGGTGCCTTCAATATGGTGGCAGAAAAAAATGCAGTGCTTTGCTTTTTGCCTCCCCACATCTCCAGTAGTGAGACTCTAAAGTATACGCTGCACAAGATCCTAAACGCAGAGATGCACTGCAGCCTTACTTTGGGAACCAAAGTCCCCCTTCGCCTGCACTTCCTTCCCCTTCAGCCTGTGGTCGTGTCAGGAATTACCTGATGGGGAGCCAGTCCTACAAATGCAGTGGGGGCAGAACAGGACCGAGCTGTACCGGTTATGGCTGCACACAGCCATAAGCCTGTAGCGCTTCATGGCTCAACCCTATGGGTGCCGTCCACTTCCAGAAGGAGGCTTACTTCCTAGGGCAGCTTTCCCTGGACTAGTGCCTTCCAGATGTTTTGCACTAGAACGCCCAGCATCCCCTGCCCAGTATGGCTGGCTGGGGGTGATATGGTGGGCTGTAACCCAACACATCTGGAAAAACGTGTTGGATGAGAAGGCTGTTCCATGCGGTGCAGGGTGGTAGCTTATAGCGTCCACATCCAGGTGACCTAAAAGGGGGCAAGCAAAATGCAAGGGCGGGCAGCACAAGGCATTCGGAATGGAAGTCTTTTCCGCTGGGCCCAGAGAAAAGAACAGCTGCAGCCAGACGTTGATTTCCACGTACTGATGAAAAGCGGGGGAAATCCCGGGAAGCAGGTTAAGTTGAAGCTGAGAAGGGCGCAGGAAAGGCGCTTCCCTCCTGGTCGGGCTCGCGCGCGCGCTCCCTCGACAGCAACAACAAAGATCCGCCGGCAGGTAGGTTCAGCCAGGCGTGGATTTCTGCCCAGGTCCCTCCTCTACCTTTCCCAAAAGGCCCAATGGCTTCGCCCCTCTGGGAGATTGACTAGGGTCACGTGGCCTCACTCCTGGGCAGGTAACTTAGGAAGGAGAGGAAAAAAGAGTTGTGTGGTTTTTTTTTAATCAAGGCTCGGTTCCTGCCATGATGTCAGAGGGAGAGAGACCGTCTGCTCGTTAATTTCATCTCCCAGCCAGGCCTAGGGAAAAAGCAAGCACCCAAAAGCAGGTACAACCGCAAAAAAATGAAAAAGAGCGTTTCCTTATTAGATATGAGTTTGGTCTTAACTCCCTTCTCCCAACCCACCCCTTCCCCATAGTTCTGGCTCTTCTGAATTGGTCCTTTTATCTCCACTTCAATCACTTGGAGGAAGGGGTGACCCTTTATTTGTGGGGGTTTGTGTTGGGCTTGTTTTATACTTCTCTCTCTCTCTCTCTCTCTCCCCCTCCCTCCCCCTTATTTTACTATGTTTGTTCTTTTCTCCTTTTCTTTTTTACCTCTGCTTTTGATTGTAGCTGTTTCCCCTTGTGGCCATGACGGCTTCTGCGCACAGTGACTCTTTGGTGATCTTGTTTGGGGCAACAGCTGGTGCAAATGGGGCTAAACTGGGTTCGGATGAGAGGGAACTAATTCTCTTGGTGTGGCAAGTTGCGGATCCACAGAGCAAGAAGGTATGGCTTCCCCAACCCTTGGCACGCAAGGCGGGTGACGCGCAAAACGCAGAGGCGGCCCTGGCCGCGCTTACTCGCGAGTAAGCCCCAACTCCGTGCCTGAGCACGCATGCAAACGGTTGGACTGCGCAAAAGCAAGCCTGGGAACCCGGAGGGGTGGGGGATGGAGCCACCGGTGGGTCGGACAGCACTGCTTCCACCCCCTCCCATTCCACACTCGCACACCCTGGGGAAGGGGGCTTGCCCGTCACAAAACTGCCCTTGGGCTTGAGGGAGGGAGTGGATCGCAAAAGCCTTGCTCTCCCCTCCTCGGGCGAACGTGTGATCTGTTAGGCTCTCAGTGCCAAAGCGTTTGCTTCTAGAAGTCGAGCTTTTTCCTCATTTGGGGTGTCTGGTGCGTGCACTGTTTGTGTGTGCGTGTGTGTTAATTCAGGCCTGCATGCTGCTGCTGCTGGGACCTATCGCTTTAATGGGAATCGAACTTGGGGAGGGGGACCGGCTTGTCCAGCTCCCAGGTCCTGCTTTCCTCCACCCCCACCATGGATTGACCTCTCAGATGCTCACCTTTCAAATACAGCCAGAAGAAAGGTTTCCCTGGCTGTCAGTGTGGCCAAAGCACTAAAAGGAGCCACTGCAGAGCGATTGGCACTTCCCAGGAAAACCAGCCCGGTGGGATAAACAGGGCCCTTCTCATCGCGATTGTACAGACCGCAGCTGGGTCTCCCTTGCAGGGGAGGGGGCCGCTGTTCCTGGAGGCAAGAAGCCGCCAGGAGTGGAAAGAGAGCTTGATGTTGTGAAATTGGCAAATATACCCTTTTCGACAAGCTCCGTGGTGCATTCCCTAAAACCCACAGTTGTGCAAATCCGTGTGTTTTTATGTCCTGCTAAAACAAGCCTGCACACAGATCCTGTCTTTTTCCACTTGTGTTTTACTTTTTCTCCCTTTTCCCCACCTCTCATCCCACTGCCCTCTTCCCGCTTCATTAAATATTTTCAGGTAGGGACACTGCACAAATGTTTGGTCAAGGCCGACAACTTGGAGCTGAGCGACCAGTGTCGAGAAGTGACGGGCTTAACTTCTGACGGTTTGAGCAAAGCTGAGCCCCTGGACCGAGTTCTCCAACAGGTGAGGACAATGGAGGGTTAACCCAGGGACAGAGTTCCAGCTGATGCAATCAAGCAGCTAGACTTGCTTTTGACTTTCGCTTTGAAATCCTCCCTAAAAGGGATTCTTCCCAGCAGCAGTGTCATACATGTGCATGGTGATCTGCCCCACCTACGCACACTTGTGATTTTGCTTCCAGTGATTCAGAGCTGGGCGCCATGCCAAGAACACGAGCTGCAAGTGACTCCGGAAGGCCCTAGTTAGAATCCCACTGCTGTGAGCACGCAGCAGAATACCTTGAAATCTGAAACACCTTGAAACCTGAAATGCGTTGCATATAATTACGGGCGCTTGCTTATCTGGCGCGTGGTGGCCAATGACTTGTTGCCTGGTGTTGCGTTCCTTCAGTGCGATGCACATGGCCCATGTGGGGAGCTGCACCGGGAGAGCTCTCCAATGTTGTGGGTTCGCCCAGAGCCCAGGTCTGCGTCTGGTAGCTTCCAAATGGATGTTGCGCATGCGTAGGATTGTGGATTTGCCACATGTGGAGTTCTGGGACCAGTTCTGTCTGTATGCAGCAGCCTAAAATTGCTGACCTTCTGCAGTGAGCGTCTTAGTCTTATAAGTGAGTGTCTTCCCTCCAGGTGACAGAAGAAAAACTGCCTCTAGTGATGTTAGGACACCCCCCCACCTGAGCATTAGCATGTGCTCAGGCCCAAGGGACAAAAAAGGCTCTCATTTGCATATGCTAATTTACAGGTTTTCCCAGGAGTGGTGCATTGCTCGCTGTTGCAATGCAAAGATGTGAGGGTGGCCTGCTCTGAAATGGGCCATTGTGACCCTCTTGAGTTTTACTAACCAGCTGCTCCTGATGGACCCAAAGAGCAGCTGCATTTCTGGCTTCTGGTGGCCAGTGATATGCCTTGGTCTTTGGAATATTCTAAAGAGAGAGAGAGATGGATCTGTGTCCAGGTAATCCCTATGAGGGCTATATGGATATGCTTCGAGGACCACCTGAATTTCCCTTAAGGCAGGGGTGACCATCCAGAAATTTAGGCCTATAGTGCCATCACCCATCACCTCTAGCTCTGCTGGCTTAGGCTGATGGGAGTTGTAGGCCCTAACATCTAGCCTGCAGCAGGTTGCTTTTCCATGCACTGCCTTAAAGTAAAAAATGAGGGGAAAGTTGTTAGAGTTACGACCGAGACTAGTCTCTTAAGGGCCCTTGCCCAAAAGAGGGAGATGGGACAGGATGCGCTCTCCTGCGTGGGCACACGTGGCTGTGCCCGTCGCTGCTTCGGCAGAACCAGCGTGGCGCAGGGGTGTTAGTGTTGCCCCCTATCTGAGGAGATCCGGACCCACATTTCTCCTCCACAACCCCTCCTCCCCCCCAGTTACCTTGGCCCGTGCCCTCTCAGACTGCTTTACCTCGTCCGGTTATTTTGGGAGTAAAAGTCACAGGGCAGAAGTGCCGTTGTTCCCTTGGCCAACAACATGATGGGACCAAATGCCCTTGTCCTGCATCACCCCTCTCAACATGCTGCCCCTCGATTCTGCATCTTTAATTTTCTCCTGGGAAGGCCAGGTGGGGAGGGCAAGGCAGCGACACGTTCAGGGGTTCTCCGGGAGCAACGTGGGAGTTTCATGATCTAATCTTGCCTCTAAAATGAACGCCTTCGCCTGGGCTTGGGTGTTTGCTCGCTCAGCTCTAATCACCTCCCAGGAAAAGCTCACAGGACACCCAGATGCGTTCAGCCTTCAAAGGGATCGTTGCACGGTGCTTGAGAAAGTGCACGCTTGTTTATTTTGCAGTCCTGTCCTGCCCGCCATATTTCCCTCCGCCTCTGAAGTCCTTTCTCAGCCGCTCGGCCTCTGCTACCAGCGCTTGCTTTATTTGTTTTGAAATGTCCAGGGTACTCTGGGAGTAACAGGGCAGCCTGCGAAAGGAGCTTTCAGCTGTCAGTCAGAACGGTGGCAACACACCAGCCAAGGAAACCCGTCACGGGCTAGTTCAGTGCAGTCACTTTCTCTTCTGCCCAAAGCACAGCTTCGGACCTCCCGTCCGCTCCAGGCTCTTCCATCTGGCCTGAGATCTGCAAATGCACCTCGCTTCACACGAGCAGCCGTGCTGCCTACCATGGCCGCCACCTTCTGCTTATGGGGTTCCTGATCAACCTCAGTATTTGATCTCTGATGTGTGTTTGTGGGGGTTCCACCTCCCTTTGCCTCAATCAGATCCAAACCAGGAAGCATGGGACCAGAAGGGGAATGAGTGGTCATGAAAAGCATCCTACAGAAAAAACAGATGCTCGGGCTTCAATTAAGTGATGCTTGTGGCAAGGAGTGGGAGAAGCAGGCCTTCCACAAAGAGCATTCCCTCTCTCGATTCTCTTCTGTCCTATACTGGGAAATCTTGAAGAGTCTGGGATTGGCTGATTCTAGAATTGGGATTGGCTGCTTCCAGCTTGTATCTGGGACTTTGTCGTTCTGCATTAAACTATTCCCACCACGTACATGTGCATGCATGCACACACATCCTGTCAAGAGTACAAATTCTGCAGTAGAAAATTAGAATTCTGTGATACATAGTATTGTGCATTACGCAATTCCATGTTTTGCAGTTCTGTTAACTTTGTTCATGGGGCCTGAGCAGGAATGGACGACTTGTAGGGCAAAATGTCTGGAAGGGAACTACTCTTATCAGTCTTTGTCCACATAGCCTACAGTAAGGAATGATGGGAATTGTAACCCTCCGGATGTTCTGGCTTGCAAGTTGCCCATCCCTGGGCTGGAAGCTTCCTTCACTTGTTCATTTTACTAAAAGTAAAGGCCTAGTATCTCAGGAATTGTGTGCCCAGTATGAGGCTGTGCTTTTTTTATTCCCAGAACCCACAAAACAGCAGAATATGTGCAATCCTTCCCGTGTGGTACCAGAGTGAAGGAGTTTGTTCAGTACAAGCCACATGTGACACAAGTGTGTTTTGCTTGCCCTCTTTTCCTATTTTTTTTAGCAATGACTGAGCAAACTCACGTCAAATGGAAAAGTACAATAGCATAGCTTTATGGAATGCACAAAACTGGTTCTTCATAGTTTCTTTGACTCGCTGAGAGTGTGTTTGCAGGAGAAACTTGACTGAGGGGTAAAACAGGTTAGTACGCTGCTACCTGTGGTGACAGGGATCGGCTTGGTGAATGGCTTCTGTGTGCAACACAGTCTTGAGGTTGCTGTTCTTTTGGCCCAGACTGAATCATCTTCAGCTTTAATGACAAGCACTGAAGCCTTTAGGGGAAAAAAAAACAGCATTTCTGCAAAAAAAGCCATTAAGTGTGGTGTATTTCCCCCTCGCTTGGTTAATTTCATGCAAGACCAGTTAAGTTTGCCAAGTGAGTTTCCAGTAGTTTAGAAATAGTTCTGAGACAAACGTTACAGGGATGCAAGTCAGATCTTGTCCTCCTCTCTTGCAACCAAGACATCTGGCGCAGCTTAGTAAATTCACATTGCTGTTCTGCTCGCGCGTGCGTGCACACTCTCTCTCTCTCTATTGCTCGCTCTCCTTAAATGATGCACTATAATTATGCTCAATACTTCCAGGAGGTTGTATCCTGTTATTGTAAATTGCAAGTTACATGCAAAAGGGAGATGCTTTCTCTGCTGAGACGTGCTGTTGTGGAAACTCCTTGGTCCAATGACAGAACAGGTGGAACAGGAGTATTGAGCAGTTTTCTTTGGGGTTCTGCAAGATCTTGGCGCCCAGAGAAGTACCTTGTCACAGCTTGGAGGATCTGGACACGAACCTGAAAGATTTTCAAGGAGGTTTCTAGCACAGCACAGTGGGCATTCACCTGGAGTGCCAAATAACTCTCGGGTTTGGCACACATTAAGGGCAAGAAGCGGAACCGGCCACTCCAAATTGCAGTCCAGTACTGCTTCACATCACAGTATTTTTCCTAGTGAGAGTGGCAGCCAGCGGAACCAATCAACTTGCCAGTGTTTGGGAGGCGGGGTGCAAGCAGTGAAGCCACGGAGCCTTTCGCAGACCTTCCTTCGCGCTCCCTGGCTCGGGACCTTCAGCGGCGCTGTGACCCCCATGGCCACGTCTGATCATTCAGCCCAGTGCCTCTCTCAGACCAGGGAAAGCTTAAGCTGAAATGCTACGAGGCTGCCATATGGACTAGCCGGTGTGTTCCAGGTTTTACCAAGCCCCCTGCCTTCCCCCCCAAAAAACTAGCATTAAAATTAGAGCAATGTACAGAAGGGCGGAATGTCATTTCCCTGTTTTGATGTACAGAAGGGACTTGTGGTAGAGACTGATTAATCTTTGTTTCTTGGGCAATCACTCCTGCGTAATCCAGTCCTTGTGAGTAGAAACAATCAAGCCAGGTTTTTGTACCAGGCTGCTTCTCACTGTTGCTTTTGAGGAGTTACAGGGAGCAATAATTGTGGTGATGCTCAGTGGAAGGAATGGATTTCAGACGCTTTTCTGTGAGGCTCAGAAATACTATTTATTTGTATACAGCAGCTGCTGCCGCTGAGTTCCAAAAACTGCTTTTTGTGTTGTTCTGATAGTGTTACCGCTATCATAAGTTCGTATGTCTGTTTGGATTCCCACCCTCATCTTGAAAGCCATTCGATTCTCTGGGCAATGAGAGCTGTTGTATGTTCAGGGAATGTATGTCCACAGAAGTGTGTTAATTTCCCCCCGCCCCATAGAAACAAAAACTGAGAATGGCTGGGAATCGGAACTGGTCTGGACAGATGGGAGGGCAGGGATACATGCGTTCTGCTCAAAAGAAACAGTAAAGCACTGTATGGTGCATTGATACTGATTAAATGTTGCCATGGTAATGAAGCAGATTCAAAACAAGAAGTTAGCATCTCAGAAAACTCATGTTTTCCCCTACAAACCCATTTAATACTGCTGGGGAACTAACAGCGGTAATGTGGGGCAGTAACCAAACTCAGCCTTGGCTAGGCTGCCCAGGTATCCCAGGGTGAGCCTGGGCGTAGTTTCCATGCTCCT